GAGACTTTGTGTCCCATCTTCTGGCTGAGGAAAATCTTGTTAACTGAACACGGGGTAGGGAATACTAACAGCTACTGGGAAACGGCTTCCTTCTTAATCCTTTCTGACACGGATAGGGAAAGCAGCCTTGATTTGGGGTGATGCAGAGTAATAATGCCTCCTAGTTTTTGCTGGTGGCTGTGAATATGTAATAACGCAAAATCTGAAAATAGCTGTGAGAACTGTCTCCAAGTAGTGGTTTGTACAACTTCTAGATCGTTTCAGGCATTTTCTTTAATCATCTTTTGCACGTTGCTACAGTTCCCGTCTGTTGCACCTGCACTGGCTCTTAAAGGATGGGAAAATGGCGTTCCCTTACCCCTCAAGGCAGGAATCCCAGTTATCTATTCTGGAAACATCAAAAAATGTGGCAAAGTAGGTGAACCGGAAACCTGAAGGGGATAACTGAAACTCTCTCTTTTGACACTCGGTAAGCTCCCTTTTGCTTCAGCGTGCGAGATGCATAGTTTGTACAGAGCACGTTTTCACAAAGATTAAGTCTGTGATTGTCGCTCTAAAGCTCAGTCACAAATTCTCCCCTCAATTCTGTATTTTTCTGACGATCTTGGCTTGCACTGTTAAAAAAATTGCAATGTTAACTCAAGACTGCAAAGTGTTAGATATAAATTAAAATTTTCATTTAAAAGGGCACAAGAATATGGGGATATGATTTTTATACTCTTTTCTGTGAGCATTTTCATAAGAACGGCTCATAGTGATGCAAGCAAAAAAATCATGAGTGCTGGGGTATATCGGCGTCATTTTCACAACCCAAAATACCCATTTAAGGAAGCCATTTATTGGTGTTTAAATGAAGCTGTCTGACAATATTCTTGTAGTCCAGCAGTGATCCAATTAATTTGGAGTTTAATGAGTTTCATATAATTTTATTTTTAGTGCAATTCCCTTAAATACTTTCTGCACTTGTATTTCTCAATGTAACATTCACAGGTAAGATTTGGGTCAGTAAATCTGCTTCAGTCTGAAATCTTTCTGGGTGATTACCAACAATGAGATGTGGTCTGCTTGAATTTTACCTCTGTAGGGATTTCTGTGGAATACAGGCACCCATCACCTCGAGAGCAAATGCCGACTGTCTGGAAGCAACCAATGCTGAATGTACGTGGACATCTCCCTGACGATTCGAAACACTTTTCTGTGTGCCTGGATAGAGAGGCCAGTGTTTGCCCTACAATTAGAAGTTAGTTGACAATTCGTTTTATGCCTCATAAGGTTGTCTGTTTTTTCCTTAGATTTCTTAATATTGCAAACTCCAGTTTGCCAGAAACTCGCCTGTGTCACTCAAGTCAGCAGAACAGATTCTGAAGTACCCCTGGAATGTAATACAGTGTTACTCTTCTGAAGTCACATTTCAAAGTAAAATCAGTTTTAAGCCCCTTCCATTTAGTGTAAAGCAATAATCTTCTTTTTTAGAAGCTAGCAGAAGCTCTACAATTTCCAGTAAAGTGATCCTAGAAAAATACTTGACCTTTGTATTTCTTTCCTTAAACTTTCCTTCTGCGAATATAGTATGCTCTAATGAATACGGAAAAAGACAAGTGTCAAAAGGTGCCAGCAGGA